CCTGCCTAGGCAGGGGGTTGGACTAGAAGACCACCAAGGTCCCTTCCAACTCTGCTATTGTATTGTATTGTATTATCGACTCTACTTGTCAGAAAGTTGCAAAATAATCACATGAACCCAGGATAGTATAACCGTCATAAATATGAGTCAATTGCCAAGGGTCTGAATTTGGATCACATGACCATGAGGATGCTGAAACAGTCATAAGTCACTTTATAGAACTTTGAATGGTCACTAAACAAACTGTTGCAAGTTGAGGACTGCCTATCCTTCTGACGCCAATTATTTTATTTCGTTTTACTCACACGATGTTTAAGGTATGATAGGTAAGTGTCCCATCCTAGAGTGATGACATTCATGTAAATCACTCGATACGCGGGGGGCAGGAACAGAAAGTTGATCAGCTGTGTTGGTGGCCACACACACCAGTCCATCTGCAAACAGAAAATGACTAATTATGTGAGCCAGTATCATAAATGTAAGTTAGTTACTCCATCCACAAACTCTGGGTCAGAAAGTAGGGGACAAAAATTAGGTTTACCTTGTAGAATTCCCAAAAGTTCTCTTCCAATTCATGCCAGCTTTCCTCCAGAGTCTGTCCTTCTAAAGATCCAATCCCTGCGGATAATAACAAGGCAGATGGAAATATGGGGGATGTTCTTTGGCTATTGGGAACTAAAGGAACTGTATATTTTTCAGAGGAAGCCAAGCACAGAAGGGACAACAGAAATGCCACACCCTCTGCTGCTTCTACCCACACACAGTATCTGTAGCAAAAGCCCACATATTTTCCCATTCATTTTTGCCCTCAAAAGAATAGAAATTGTCTTGCAGCTTCAGGAATTTAGTCTTACCTATGAAATACCAAACCCCAAAGACTGGAGAGGCAACAATCTGATCAATGAAAACTTTTTTCAGGACGGTCCTGATGCCACTGAAGCCAGCAGCAGGGAAGGCCCTGTCTAGCCACAGGTACCAGTAGTGCATCATTGGGCCCATAGTGCAGCCGATGGTGAACATTCGTGCTGAAGGAGGAAATTTGCTCCATTAGTAAAACATAAGGGATTCATCATCAAATAACAAAAATCCGTGATGCATCAATAAGAGAAAATATTTAAAAAATCTATTACAAATAAAAGTAATTCTCAACTTACAATTATTCATTTAATGACCATTTGAAGGTACAATGGCACTGAAAAAGTGGCATATTGGTTCTCACGCTTATCCCCATTGCAGTAGCCCCATGGTCAAGATCAAAATTTGGGTGCTTGGCAAATAATTTATATTTATGACAGTTGTATTGTCCCAGGGTTATGTGATTACCACTTGTGACCTTCCCAGCCAGCTTCTGACAAGCAAACTCATTGCAGGAAGCTAAATTCCCGTAATGAACACATAATTCACTTAACAACTGCTATGATTCTCTTAACAATCATGGTCAAAAAAGTTGTAAAATAGCAATAGCAATAGCAGTTAGACTTATATACCGCTTCATAGGGCTTTCAGCCCTCTCTAAGCGGTTTACAGAGTCAGCATATTGCC